GTCAATGGTGTGTTTTCTTTTGGTTTGTGTAGCTGTGTTTGGTTCACGTGTGTGTGTTTGTGTATGTGTGTATGTGTGTGTACGTGTGTGTGTATGTGTGTAGGTGTGTGTATGTGTGTATGTGTATGTGTGTGTCCGAGAAAATTGACTGGTTGCAATAAATGGGTAATCAACAAAGTCGCTTGATATACGTAAATAGAACAGAGCTCCGCTCATGGTGGGCAGGGCGCTCTGGAAGTGTTCAGGGGTGTCTGGTTGTGTTTGACTGTAACTTCACACGCTTGAATGAGTGCGCAAAAATCTGAAAGAGATTTAGGTTTAAGCCCAATTCCAACAAGAGAATTAGGAGAGCCGATCCGACAAGTGCCAATGAGTCATCCTGTCTCTTCGGCAGCAGAAGCCTGAACACTTTGATACGTAATGAGTGATGGGAAGATTTGACTACAACCGTCGGTGATTGAAGAGCCTCGACCAATGATTCATACCAATGAAGATGGGAAGGGTCATGGATAACCACTCTGATAGTGGTGTTATCATCAGTCGGCAAAGTATGTTCCATTCAGAGCCTACGTTGATCAGATGGCTCAGCTGTGCCTGAGTCGTTACTTCATCAGAACTAGTAAAGGAAAGATACGGATTCTCGCCGGCTAACTTTATCTCTCCTATTTGTAACGCCCGCACGTTTACGATTCTCCTTTCCAAAAATTATGTGATCAGAAATGTAGCATTTGCTATGCAAAAAGTATGGCTAGTCAACTGAACATTCCGACTTCGCTCAAAGTAGCTCGTCATCATTACTTGTATGCAGGTTCTGTCACAATGTCTCCACGTGTTCCTGATCCACCTCTGATCAGTTGGTGAAGTTACTTATTCAGAAGGAAACCTACGCATTATTGTACGAGGCAGTTGTCCCACGATACTAGCAGAGTTGTTATAGTGATGGTGCAGCCTGCAGTTGGCAAGTGTTTCTGTCCTACTGCAGTTGTAACGGAAGAGTTAGATTACCACGTCGCAGGACGAGATAATTCAAATGAACCACACTAGTGGTGAGGTGTCTGTTATTCTTTGTAATCAGGGAGGATAGTATCCTTATATTTTTGTTTTCCATGATACATATCAATAACATTGAGTCGGTCTGCCAGTAGAATGAGCACCTCCACTCTGGAACAGTGTGTTGTACGACTGCTGTAGGGACATTCAATAGCATAAGGAACCAAATTACGTTGGCTTCGGTCTGATAGTTGCGACCACATCTCTTCAGTCCCCGCATCAACATTGGTAGGCTTCCCACCGAACCTAGGTATAACATCGACTGAGAAACTCTTACCTGGTGTGAAGGCCAGGTCTGAAAGTGATTGTGTTGCCTGTGACAACATCCCTTGGGTTCCTTTTATCTCTTGTTGCCTATAGTTGCAGGTTTTGCTCCCACTCTCGCTAGAAAACACCTATTATATGCGTTTTGGAACCACTAGGTTTGAGCAGTCCGTTTGACAGAAATCATTGAGGAGTAAGAAATAAAGGAGTTCACTTACCGAGCTGCAACGTATCGCGGTGCAACCGGCTCACCTTAGCTTGTAGTGGTTGTTCAGGTGCTTGTTGTATCCCCTATTACAAATTAAGAGAACTGATTCGAGGTAGCTCAGCAACTGTGCCTCACGCGCTCTCTTATCCGCGCCGAGTCCTTTTGTTGACTTGAGATCAGATATGCTTGCAGAGGCATTGATTCATACTCATAAGTGCTCACCTCACGATATATGTAAGTCATCTACGAAAGCTGTTAGCAGAATTTAATTGAATATTTCGTCATTTTTCTCTCTGCAGCCTTTTTATAGTGTATGCTGGTGGGAAGCTCCATCCTGATCGCTGGCAATCGCCTCATCTTCACTCGGGATGGACTTAAGACGATACTTTACTAGTTGTTGGTTGGACGTGGGTGAGTGTGCTACTCTTCTTCTCCATCGTTAGACTCTCCTTCAGCTCATGCACATAGGAATGGCTCAATTTCTGCCTCTCAAATTACTGGGATCAGTATCGATGTTAGCCTGAACTTCTACAGAGATTGCTGTGCGATTTTGATACCAATTTGTTTCAATCATGTTTCAATCTTTATCTCCCCAAAATCGTAGATTGAGTCTTCAAACACCTTGGGTGATGGTTGCAAATGAAAACGGTAAATGGGCCAAGCTGTAGTCCCTATCAATATGGAGGATTAGATGTCGCCATGTTTGCAGGGATCGTTCCAATTTCTTTAGGATGCGATCCTCGATTTCGGCGAAAAAAGGGTAACCAAAGAAAATAAACATTTAGGATGAAGCTGTATCTTCTCCTCACAACCGGGGCTTTCAACTGATCTAACTCTAAGCCTCGTGGAGCGTTATAACCGAATAATAAGCGATTGTTCGAGACTGATTAATCCGACCGTCGGTTGAATACGAGATGGTAATCTTTCTCATCTATAAAGCAGTAACTTGGTGTGTCGGTTTGTCGGTTTGTCGGTTTGTCCGTCTGGTGCTTGACGACTTGCCTGTCTGTCCATTGATTAGAGTTTATGATTACGATAAAAGTAGCTGTATGGAAAGCCCTGTTCTCTACTATCTCTATCCTACATTTTCTCCTTATATATAAAGCAGTAACTTGGTGAGTTGGTTAATGGAGTAGAATGAGTATTTGCCTAGTGACGGAGTGAGTAGTATGGAGTTAACTGGAGACTTCCAAACTGCGATTTTGATCTGTAGTGGCATCAGGCTATGTATGTCTATACAAAAATCGGAGGTGATAATGTAATTGGAGGACTTCCGCTTTTTCAACATTGAGCGCTTGATCCCAAGTAAGAATTTCAGCTTAGGAACGTTTCCTACGCGGGAAAATAAGGTTTCCTGACCAGAGCTTCAGGAGGGAAAGAGACCGGGATGGGCGAGTCAATTGAATATTCAACTCATCATATCATCTTTCTCATCATCATCATATATCGTCGTAATCATCATGTCATCATACCACATGCTAGCTTTTTGCACGAGGTGGTCATCTCAACCCCACCCTAGCGCTGCTCTCCTCTTGAGGCTTATGTAAAAACTATATTCGCCCGCCCAGAACCGTCTGTAAGCATAGGCGAGGGCGGTTAACCTCCTTTGCTGCACCCTATCCCTCATCATCTAGAAGAAGCGATGCCTCCCCCCCCCCCTTCTCCCCTAATTCATTTTCTAACCATTTTGTGAAAGTAAGGAATGAGGCCTGGCGTAAGCCGGGCGGTCCTACTGGTAGTGTTATATATGATGCACTGTAACTGATCTTTGACCCTTCGTCATAGAAGGTGGATTGGTCGTTAGTAAATGTACATTTCTCAGCAGTTGTTCCGAGTCACGAACTTCGGCAAAGAAATTTATGATACGAGAGTAGTGAACGGATAGGAAAGGAAAGAACTGGATGAAGACATAGTTCACAATGAAAATAGTTCGTGGGATTTTCCTTCAAAATAGGCCTGCAGCGCTTTAAGTTTGCAGGGCATAATAAGAGCTTTAAAACCAGTCTAGCCAATATACTCACTCATAAGTGGAAGTGTAGCGACCGTCTTGCTTAGGCTGTACCACTCCCAGCAAGGCCCACATGTTGGAAATTTAAATAACAGTGTGTGCTTCATGATTATAGTGGAGGGCAATTTTGGTATTTTTGGCTTCTTTGGACAGTTTTACCAATGTCACACTGCGAGTGACGTTTAAATACGTCCTTCAGTACCCGAATTTCCACTATGCTTTCACTTCAACAGACAACTCGAGCATTAAGTGCATATAGTATATCAGAAGTTGCAGGATTTATTCTGAAATAGATCATTTTTCAAAGATAGTCTTTAAGCCTCTACTCCTTGGAATCCGTTTTTTTCCATTTGACAATATCTTGCCGCGAGCTGCCCCTTTCTTTCGATCCTTCTGTTTTGTCCTTTACTTCACCTTCTCTTGAACCCTGATCTTGTTCTCTTGATTTCACTATCTTTTCGATGGATTCACTCTCTTTTGATCCTCTTCCTTCCCTCGATTTGGCTACTTTGCCAACAGCTTCGCCTTCTTTTGATCTCGTCACTTTCTCCTCCTCAGATTTCGGTTCCTTTTGCCTCCTCTTCGCCTTTTCCAAATCCCTTTTCTTCTATAAACGGATTATTTATTGTCATCAAAGTTGAAGCAGATAATCGTGTTTGTGAATTAGTTACCTCATTTCGTTTCCGTTTCCTCATAATAAAGGCCATCGCTAGTGCGAGGAGAATTAGAAGTAGACAAATAACACCCACGACAATCAAGACCCAATAAGGAAACCTGGAATCAGATTTTAATAGCTTAGTCTGTAAAAAACAGCTTCTTGCAGTCCTTTTTATACAAGGGCAGAACACTTTGCGCTGATCGAGTAGGCTGTCATAGCTTCGCCTACAACATTCAGATCCTAATCGTTATTATATAGGCTTACGATTCCTAAGCCAGTCTATACAATGGACTGAGAAGACCTAATGCTGTAGAAATCAGCGGTTTTTGTTCTGGGTTGGCCCCAGCAACTGCTGCGTGCTGAGCGTTGGTTGGCTGTTGCCTTTAGAGTCGAAATTGAAATTAGGAAAAAAGTGATTCATGCTCGCTTGAGGGACACAAGGCATAGCATTCCTTCCGTTCGGAGCTTCCGTGGAAAAATTGGACCATCTCACTAGCAACCGTCCTGGTCCTCGCTTGACATATCGAAGGATCCAGTCAGT